AGGACTTGTGCATGTCTAGTTTGTTTAAATGTTCCCTAACCTGAGGGCAAGTCATCCTTGCTCCAGAATTCCCCTCTGATTGCAGAGGCCTGCGATTACTGAGGGCTGGTCTTATGAGTAAGAACTGAGCTAAAGAAGTTAATGAGTACCTTGGCCTTTTCCATACTTTTTGTCAACAAGGCCCCAGCCCTAACATGGAGTAGGAAGCCCACATTCTGCAGCAAGTCCATATTTTCCTTAGTTTTTCCTTTGCTGCGGCTGTTTCTGTAAAAGCTCTTCTTGTTGTCCTTCATATCCACTCCAAGTGGGTTTTGGTTCTTCTAACTGTGTTTTTACATGCTTGGACAGTGTCTCTGTATTCCTCACAGGTCATCTGTCCTTGCTTCCACCTCTTGTACACTTCCCTTTTCAATTAAGAATTTTATCAGGTATCTTCATCACCTGAAGATAGATTCTTGATCCTGATACAGCTCCATAAATGTATGTAAAAAGGCAATGCATTCTTGCAATGCTGAAAATCTCTTGAAAGGAAGACTGATTTGTGATATATAACTTTAAATGTTAAGTGAGTATATTTTACATCTGTCCTAAAATTTCAATTTTTCTGAGCTCTTTTATTTAACTATTGTTTACTTACTCTTGAGTTATTTAGAGCTCATAGAATAACTGATAGAAATCTCAAAATTGCTCTTGGCATCTTCATATCAAAATGGATAGCTGCCAGCACAGAAATAGAGCTTATAATTTCTCATCACAAATATGCTACCATTGAAAGTAATGAAAATGTTAATACTAAGTATCCTCACTAATCTTTAAAATTATTTTAGGCAAGACACACTCTCTGAAATAATATAAAGAAGAGAAATTTCAGTATGAGGAAACTCATATTGACTTTTTAAATCAAGCTGATTAAAATCTAAAGAAGATAAAAAAAAAATAGAAGCCCATGGAGGTATCCTGCATCTTTGGCTTTTCTTTACCATTTCTGTCTTGATGTTTGAGAATGAGAGCTGAACTGAGTATGTTCTAGGGAGAAATAGTTAAGAAACAAAATGAAGCAACGTATAAATCTATAAAGAGAGAAGTTGACCTCAGTGCAGTCTCTGAAGTTTTTTATTGGGGTATCCTGTAAGGTAAGTATAGGAATTTGCTATACAGTTCCCTTTTATGTCTGACACTGGTTCTTCCATCACTGCATATACCAACATATATGTGTGTTTATGTATATATTTCTAATATTTAGCTTTCTTGCACACCTGTGTTTATCCATCTGTCTACATTGTCCTGGTTTTTAGCTGGGACAGAGCTGGGTTTCTTTTTAGTAGCTGGAATAGTGCTGTGTTTTGGTTTCAGCCTGGGATTTGTTATGAGAAAACTGTTGATAACATATCAATGTTTTTCAATTGTCACTGGAAGTTGAAGGACTTTGTGTTTTGCTAGTCTCCAAGTGCAAGGTCAGGGGCGGGAGGCAAGTAATGAGGAATATTAAAATTAATAAACTAGACTGGTATTTGGATATGCCAATGGAATATTCCAGGTCATATAACATCATGTTCAGTTTATTAATGAGGGTCTCTCCCTTGTGGCAGGTCTCTCTTTCTGGCTCTTGCTTGGGCTCTTGCTCTTCTGGGGATTTTGGTTTCACTTTTGGGATTGTCACTCCTCTGACATCATTATCCAAGAAAAGGCCAGACTTGGTCAGCAGGTGGTGAACAATTTTACTGAGTATAATTCATTTGCAAATTTTATTACTATTATAATTATTATATTCATTATTATTTTCAATTTTATTTTATTTCAGTTGTTCAACTGTTCTTATCTTACCCATCCAATTCTCTCCCCTATCCCCTGGGGGCTGGGAGGGAGTGAGCAAGTGGGTGTGTTTGGCTGTCAGCCAAATGAAACCACCACATACACAAATATCTTCCTAAATCTAGCTTGCCTGGATTACATATTTTCTTCTCCAAAACAAAACCAAAGGTAACACCACATAGAATGTACATTCTCCTCTGTAAAAATGACATTTTGCAGAAGGAACATTTGATGGACTAATTAAGTCATAATATTAAGGAAGCAAATACTTTGGTACCGCTACTTCCTCTACCTGATGTTGTTAGCTATTTTCGTAAAATAGAGTTTCCTATTCTTATTCTACTGCATCTAATTACTATTGTATATAAGTCTAGTAACATTTATTATAGTGAATAAAAAAGAAGGTCTGAGGAGAGGAACTGCCATGTATCTCAACCTAGGTCATACTCAGAAGGAAGATATCTTGTCCTCTTGACAGAGACAAAGGAAAACAGATGTACCAAAGAGGCAGACAAAGCACAGCTGAAAATTATAATAAATCATACATGTGATGCTAGAGGAGTGTACAACAGCACCAACAACAGAATACATGTAGGAAACAATAGGAAATACGAAATAGAAAAATAATCTTATATTTCACACATACTTTCCACCCATGGGGTCGCTCATAGAAAGATCTCTTCAGGTTGCTAGTTACTATGGTGACAAGGACAGCCCAAGAGCCTACTTAGGACAGAAGTGATGTACTGTCTAGCCCATTACTCAGGGCAGTGGAATACTATTAGATAAAAACATTAGTTCAAGAAACCTGTGATTGAAGACAAACTTTATAGCTTAGAGGTACCAAAGATCTTTTTTTTTTTTTAAAGTGAGGAAAGACTGAGTGGATATATTTCAGGTAATAATGAGAAGACTTATCAATGCATTTTAATTTGGGTTTTTGATACTTCCAATTTCTTTCACAAATATCATCACTATGGAGAAATGAATCACTTTGAAGCAGGCTTACCTAAGGCAAATATAATGAAGCAACATTTTACAATTTATAATAGCATTTTCAAAAAGAAAATGTGAAAAATATCCATTCCAGTATATGAAACTTGATTTCATTTTCAAACAATTTGTATGTGTCAGCAAACTGAGACATAGAATTTACAAAAAGAGAAAGATGGACAAACTTTCACAAAAAAACTATTCTAAAAATCTAAAACCCAAAGGGCTTACTGATTTGAGGTATAAATAAAAGGAAGTGGGAAGAAGATGTACAGAACAAAACAAATACAACTTAAAGACTGTCAGACTGTTCCTGGTTACTCTGTGCATGTGCAGAATTTAAGAACTGGAGAATTACCCAGGAATTTATAAAGTTAAGTTCTGACAACACTAGACAGCTAATAATCATAGAATCATACAATGGCTTGGGCTGGAAGGGACCTTAAAGATCATCTAGTTCCAACCCCTCTGCTATGGACAGGGTTGCCAGTCACTAGATCAGGCTGCCCAGGGCCCCATCCAACCTGGCCTTGAATGCCTCCAGGGATGGGGCATCCACAACTTCTCTGAGCAACCTGTTCCAGTGTCTCACCACCCTATAGGTGAAAAATTGCTTTCTAACATCTAACCTAAATCTCCCCTCTCTTAGTTTAAAACCATTTCCCCTTGTCCTATCACTATCTGCCAACATAAAAAGTAGCTCTCCCTCCTGTTTATAAGCTCTCTTTAAGCACTGGCAAGCCACAACAGGTCTCCCCAGAGCGTTCTCTAACAAGGACTTAGGCACTTAGCTATGGAATAAGCAGGAGGTATGAGGATCTGAGTTTTATATTAAATTTAAATTTGCGTTTAGATAGAGTATATACAAGAAACTTATCCACCTCCAAAATGGGGAAAACAAACTCCTCTAATTTATAGAGGTGCTCTAAGGAAGAACACATAGAGATTCTGAGGCTCCTGTGTTGTATTGGTAAACAACTGAAGTAGACAGGTTAGGTAGACATAAGAATATATTTTTAAATATCTGAGATCTTACACTTGAAAAATAATTTCCTAGAGATTTGCACAGAAATGCATTTAAGAAACACTTCTTTTTCAGCACTTGGGAAACATCACCATATAGTAAACAGTGACAAATGGTGGCCCCATAAACAGCACTAATATATTCCAAAAATGCTGAAACAGAACACTTGTAAATAAAATAAATATGAAATTAGCAATTTCAATATTATTTTTTCTGCAACATCTCACTGTATTTATTTTGTGAGCATCCAGCATGACAAAACAAACAGGATTCAAGTGCTATGAAATATTCCTCCTGTAAACTAGCCTAAGGCAGTTTCTCTGCTATACTAACAGTTGTGCTAATGATACAGTAACAGCTTTAGAATAATCCCCTTCATCCTCAGAAACACAAACAATCTTGTATAAACAGAAGAGCAAGGATCTCAAAGTTCTTCCTTAGCCAGTTGTAGGCAAGAGACAAAACACTGCACACATCATTCTGTCACTGATAAGAGCATCACTTAAGAACAGCAGCAGCACAAGCAGTGTGCCTTGCCATAAAACGAGCCTTTCCATTAGCTAGTGCACTTCAAAAATCAAATTAAGGCTACTGATGATCTAAATTCAGTAAAATATACATCTATTTAAATCTGTGAACCAGTAATGGGATTCTTTGAAAGGTCGAACAGATGCTGGTGGAAATAATCAAGTTGTATTAATTGACCTTAGCTCTAATAGCAAAGACATAATTGTCAGAAATTGTGGATTCTGCAGGATATAAACATTGCATGGTGCAATTATATTTCTCTGACTTTAACCATAATATTACCTGTCTAGTCACTATTTTTAAAACTAGACAGGTACAAAAATCTCAATGGTAAATATTCTACAGATTATTTACACAACACGTAGAAAACTATAAAAATAAAATCTAATTCTTCAGATTTTCAAAGGGCATCTTCTATTCCTTTTACTGTAAAAAATACTAGTTACATATTTCACCTGCAGTTTCTTCCCCTTACTAGCTTTATGCCAGAATAATTTCATAGTCCTTGAGTTACATCTGATATACAGAAGCTGCATCTATGTAAGAAAGTAATTTTTGGTTATGTTCTACTGTTTGTAAATAGTTGAGAATATTTTTAAAGCAATATGTGGCATAGGACAGGTCTTTAGGAGACTTCAGTTACCTGGGTAATACCTAGCGAGGCCAGTTGCGCTACCAAAAACTTGCCATAATAAAGTGGGGTCTTCTTCTCTGTTCCGCTTGAACACATCATCCAACGCTGCAGTCCAGTTGAGTTCATTTAACACTATCGTTGCTGTCAAAGACAAAACATATTTAATGTTACAAAGTTACATCCTAACACAAGAAGCAATGACTACAAAATCAAACTGGACTATTACAGAAAGTAATAACATTTCATGTAACTAATCCACAGAGTAGATTTAAAGAAATATACTCCTCTTCCTTGGGAATTTTCTTTTAAGTTCCTCATGCTCTCTTCTTCCCATTGCATTATTTGTATGCAAAGACTATCGGCTTATTTGCACAGCCAATATCTTCCACAAATACTTTGTTTCTGAGATGTCACTCTAGTTGCACTTCCCAGTTATAGAAAAATAAATACAAGCATATAAATTTATGAGTTGGGTCCTTCCACAATGAACTTAAAATACAAGAAAATTAACATTTCAGCTAAACACTATGTGCCCAGTTATACAGAAGCTTACATTCACAAAGTTGTCCTATACCAGTTCTTGTTTTAATCAATCAAATATATTATATAATCAATCAAATATATAACATATTAACATATTCTCCACCTTTTTGAAAAAACGATATGTTGGGAAACTTACTCTAATATTGATGAATGCTTTTACATTAATAGTCAATTTACTACAGTCAGTAGTCAATGAAATTTTATTGTGATACAGAATACCTTATAATTTATGATAAACCATGCTTTTTACCTCATTTAATCAGCTGTAAATATCTCATTAATTTCTCCCCAAAAAACTTAATAATGTTAAGCAATACCAAATATTCATTTAATTTTAAAAATCAAGGGCTTTATGTTGGTTTGACCACTAATTCTTTCTTTTTTGTTGCCTAATGGCATTGTAAGTAATTCCTCTAAAACTGAAACACCTAGATTAGCAAGCCAAGAGTGGAAAGGGAACAAGAGGGGAAAAAACATTTGAAAACAGCTAAAGATATAGGCATAAATCTTATGAAAGCTAATGCTGGCATACAGATCCTGCTTACACTGTGTTGAACACAGGAATGAAAATTCAACTTCTCTTGCAAATGGGTAAATCAAGCTGAAATAAAAATAGTTCATGTTTAAGGCATCTAAGTGGCATCACAGTACAAAATTTGTTATGTCGGTCTACATTCTAGCCCTCTGCTACCTTGAAAAAAAGAAACAATAAAAATAAGGACAGGTTGAAAGTTAACATTTGACAGCCCATTTCCAAAGAGAGGTTGTTAACAGGTACTAGAGAAATGAGATCACAACATAACATTTTATAGGGTTGTTTTTAAAGGTTAAGGAGAAAATTGTTATGCCATGTGTTTTGTAGAGAGGTTTGTCTGGTTTTTACGAAGTAGTTTTAAGATAATATTACTGTCTCAAGATATAGCTTTTTATAGAAATATTAAGTTAAATTTCCAGTTGGAATTCTCTCTAAGCAATAAGCTTATACTATATACCTGTATCTTTGGTATCTTTGTCAAGTAGATAATTATAAATATATATATGTTTACTGAAGAAAGAGGAATAATTCCTTGTGGCACCATGAGAAGTTAATTAATATTTTAAAATGGTTACTGTTCAATCATCTCTTTTACATCCAGTTTGATCTACTGTGTAGAGTAGATTAGAGTAGCATTATGTAGAGCCTTTCTAAACCTGAATTTGTGTCAGATCTTACTTCCAGAAGTGGCTCCATGAAGCCATTAGAAGCTCTATCATTTACTTACTGAGACAATACTTTCTATTCAGTTTGATTTGTTTTTGTTTTTTTTTTTCATGTTTCTGTTTCCTCATCTGATTTACAAAGTACTTGGCCCAGTGGAAGCTTACACCAGTGGTTCCTGGTGGCATTTCGGACACTGGAGCTTAGGGCACTTACTTTAAGGCACATGGGAGACAATAATTCTTTCTTCTTTGTTAGCTGACAAAACATTTCTGTTTCAGGGTCCTTTATGAATTCCCAAGCACCATAAAAATATAAGCACCATAAAAATATAAACCAATGTGTTTCTTTGGCTACATGACCTGACTTAAAATTGCTGGAGCCTCTACCCCTAGATCTGTCAGTGACTTTACCACCTTGGTCAGACCACTGATACTCCTATTAAGATAAACATTTAATCAGGGTAAAAATAAATAAATAAATAAATAGGTAAATAGGTAAATAAATAAATAAATATTTAATCATGCTCATAAATGCTTTTCTAAATTGGTAACTATGTACTCTGTGAAAAAAAAAAAAAATCAACTTGAGGCCATTTCCTCTCGTTCTATCA